CCCAACTGTGTCACCCGATCTCCTCAAGTTGTTGCTGAGGGATCAGTTTGTAGATACCTTGGACAGTCCACAACTTAAGATACAAGTGAAGCAAGCACACCCCTCTACCATGCAGGATGCACTTAAACTATCCCTTAAAGTATGTAGAAAAAAAAAAACTGCTACAAGTAACTAGTTTTTAACCTGAACTTAATAATGAAAGTCAGTACATATATTATCAGAGATATTCTGAACAATTGAAAATAGTCATCCTACTATTCTAGGCCATTTCCAGGGATAAACCTTATTTTCTTCAAAATATCATCCTTTAGCCTTTGTCACAGCCTCTAAACATGTAAAAAGAAGAAAAGTTGTTTTTGAGTTGATAGTTCATTTAGAAACTTACTAAGAAGCCAGATCCAGAACTTAGACTTAGAAGTATATATAGAGGTATGCCACATGAACTGTACTGAAATAATTCTTGCTCTTTGTACATTGGCATGGTCACCAAAGTCATCACTGAAAGGTATCATTGTATGTGTTTGATCTCGCAGTGGTGTGCTTCAGACTGGCTGACATATCTTACATTTATGCATTCCTTTATATTGTAGAAACATGTATACTTGTAAATATCAAAATGATACATTACTCTTGGAGGCCACGTTTTTAAAGAAAATAATGAAATTAGTAAAGAGTGGTGACTCTAGCATGTTTTAGACTGTGAGTGAGGAATGGGAGTGAGAACTAATATGAATATGAAATTTTTGATGAATATATAATATGACTAATGCTTATTTGGAAAGCTTAGAATGTTTTGGGGCTGGAAGTAAAACACAAATTATCTGTGAATAGAAACAATCCTTTCAGTAGTGGTGTGTGCACATGTTCTACACTGAAGAGTGTATTTGATATAGCACCTGTGAATATGTTTATATATTCAGGCTTCTTAAGATTGGCAAAATGTGATTATCATACTCCATGCTGTGTCATTATTGGCACCAAAGCAACTTCTGCTAACTAGCTGACTGTCATCTCAATCACACAGAATCCATCAAGTGTCTGGTTGCTTTGGCAGAGCCTGGGGTCCATTGAGGGGGGGTGAATGTAAGAACTTCTTATGTTAGCAGCCAAAACGTGGTTAACAATTTCGCAAGTGCTATGACCAACTTGTACAAGCTTAACACTAATGTGTTACTGCAATAGGATTATCATAACAGGTATGTTTTCAGCAAAATAAAGATAGCAGTCTAATCTTTGTATATCTCAACATTGATTAAATTGGTTTGTTTGATGATCGTGCCATCTGTATCCATACACAAACACACAAATGTAATACATGTATATATGGATTAGTGATAAACAGGTACATATAATCACATAAAAGTATCTATCAAAGCAATACACGTTTTATTAGTATTTATATTGATTTGTGCACCCATAATATACAACAAATCAAAACAAGGCATTGGCAACAATCAACTTGGTTTTTATGATCTCCAGTAACAAACTGTACTACTGGTTACATGGTCCAACACTACACTAATATCTATAGGTCAAGAAACTCAATGCTATTGATATTATAAAAATAATTTTTGACTAAATCAAGTAAACTTAATTATTTCACTGTAAATTGCACAACTGGAATAATTTCTCCTGTTCATTACAGCACTTTTTGTTTGTCAATATGATAAGATAAATGCAGGCAAAATCCATTAAAACTAACTCTTTCCCATTGCAACCCAGATTATTTAGAGTAATACCTCTTGTCATGGTATATTTGAAAAAATCTATAAGTTGTTCACACCCAAAGGCATGTTAATGCAATTCGAAAATTGCTTACTCGTGGTAAGTTGCCTCCAACACTTCACTTTCCTATAACTAGTAAATTGAGTAATGTGCAGATTTGATTCCTAAATGCCATGGGAATAGATTCTTATGAAACTTAGCTTTGGGGATTAATGTCTAAAGCACAGACCATTCAGATAGGCAAAGCTACTATCTATATAATTGTGTATGGTGCTCGTTACTTTCTGAGTGCAAGATTACATGTACAGGTGGGTAACAAGTCTTTTTCTTTCCAAGACAACCTTCTAATTGTGATAGGCCAGTTTTTAAAGATTTAACATTTTCTGAGTGAGAGATAAAGAAGTTTCATATTGTTTTTGAAGAAAGTCAGAAGTGTCATGTTCAAAAAGCAGTGGTGGATCTCCAGACATTTCTTTTGAAACTATTTTAGTTAATTTAATTTAATACCATGTGTTTTTTATTTAACATTAGTTTAGTAAAATGACAGTTTTAATATATTAATTTGAATTAATTGCCAATACTTCATTCATTTGAAAGTCTTGTTTTGTTCATTAATTTCACTGTAGTTTGATTTTTTTAAACACTAGTTGTTGCTAAACCTTCTGCAATACAAGGAGATTAAAAGGCTTAAATAAAGACCATCTAATTGTGTTCGGCAAATTTGTCTGTCTCTTCTCCATTTGTTCTTACTAAACATTCCTTCCATCAAATTAAGAACCTCTAGTTTATCCATGTGTTAAATATTCCTTAATGTGGAATACCATACACATAATGGTTCCCAGCAAAATATTAATATTTTTCACCTGAGTGCTTAGATTGCAAAGCTCTTTCACCTTTCAGATGCATCAGACCTTCTGACCATCATCACCAGCTATTCTAGTTGTTGATATAAATATATATATTTGAGGTAAACAACCTAATTTCTCCATCATATTTAGCTGAGAGGTTCTGACAAAAATAACCACTGAGAAACAAACTCCATAAATCAGAAAATAAGGACCACTGAGTCCTTGTGGATTTCAAATATCGCAGTCAACCTCTGTGGAATTTGATCCTCATTTTAACAGTTGTGACCTAATGCATCTCGGGTAATCAGCTCTGAAGAATCACTGCATAACACAACTCTAACTTGAAATGTAAGGGATATTGTTCCCATTTTACCTCCATATCATCAGTCTAATGCCATAACCTATGGTTATAAGGCCAATTTAACAGCTGGTATAATTTATTTTCAACTATATTTAATCAGAAGTGAATGTTGGCATCGTAGTAAATCTTTCAAGCAGGTGAACTGTTCTAATATTAAGCTTATCTTCCTCTGTCTCAAAATGAACAGCCAGAAGAAAAAACCTGTGACATCCTTCTTATCATCAGTCAGATTGAGATAGTTCTGTGTGTTCGTGCTGTTGTCTGACTCATCAATTCTTTCCCTTTCTGATCTTAGTTCAGTCAGTGCACTAGAGGCTTATAAGTGACATTTAACTTAATTTTATCAGCAGTTTCTACACATAACATAACCATTTAATAGGTTAAGTTATTGAACAATGAAATAAAGTCCAGCACTGAGTTTACAGTTATGCTGCAAGCACATTCTAATATTTCTCTATACTTTAACTGTTGTACTTTCACTGTTCTATCCTTACTTCTTTTTTGACATATGGCTGCTTTAATAACCCAGTTGTAGAGAGCCAATGTGGACTCCAACAATAGACACATTCCTGTAGATTGGGGCTAGTCCTTAACTGCTACAACCTTTGAGTTGTATGATCAGTGGATACTCCAACTCTGCCCTCATTATGACCAAGAAATTCATGATATTAATGCACTTGTTTCCATCATCAGGTTTAAACCAACTTTTCTTACCCACATATTCTATCAAAATTTTTCTCTTTAAAATATAAATGGCGATTCTACCTATTAATATATCTTACTAGTCACATAACAAATTTTCTTCACAATATGGGATCTCTCGCTTGGAGTATTACAAGGGTAAACTAAATACAGTTACCTGATCTTTGCAACAACAAAATGTTTATGGATAAACAAGGAGATACTTCACTGGCATGTCTTGACTCTTTCAAATCAGAAATAATGTGAATGAAAATGTCAAACTGCCCTCACAATCCACGTTCTATTTGTAGTTAACCAATCATGAAATTGGATCACAAGTAACTAGGAGTTATGTTGTGTGACATTGTAGTGTGCAAAGGCTACATTCCTTATTCTCCTATAGTATATATTTCATATCTACACAATTTTTTAATATTTCTAAGTTCTGATTTCGAACATCCTAAATACAGCTGAGCTTGTGTTAACTTCAGTCTGAGGTGTTACTATTTGTATAGCTTGAGTGGCCAAATAACTTATCTACTTGTTTCATTGAATATTTGCATTCCATCCAACTTGACTTGTGTATGGAGAATAGCCTGTAGCCCTGACACAGAGAAGAGATGTTTCCACATTCTGGTGCTCGTTTTATGAATGGTCAACATTAAAGGAAATATGTGTTGGTAATGCAATTTGGTACTTTCACATTTCATGTTATGGTCTGAGAGAGTCATGACTCTCTTGTGGAGTTCTTTTTTGTTTTCAATCCTTATAATTGTTGGTTTTTCTTACTGTGACTGCTTCGTTTTTCTTTCAGTTGACTTCATAGTATATGGAAAGATGGGTGTAGTGATTTG